ATCTAAAATAATTGATTAATGAGGAGTATTAATTTACATTTTCAAATAATAGTGTAAATATAATAGAAGATCAAATTTTGGTTGAAATCTTAAATAAGTTTTCTTATTTAAATTTTATAAAAAACAGTTTTATATAAAAACAATTTTATATAAAAGCAGTTTTTTTATAAAAACAGTTTTATATAAGTTTTTTATAAAAACAGTTTTATATAAGTTTTTTATAAAAACAATTTTATATAAGTTTTTTATAAAAACAGTTTTGTATAAAAACAGTTTTGTATAAAAACAGTTTTGTATAAAAATAAAAACAGTTTTATATAAAAACAGTTGAAATATAAAAACAGTTTAATATAAAAACAGTTTTATATAAGTTTTATATAAAAACAGTTTTTTTTGTAGAAAAACAGTTTTTTTTGTAGGAAAACAGTTTTTTTTATTAAAACAGTTAATAAAAAAACAGTGGTTTTCTAAAATAGTTAATTAAATGTTAAAACAGTTTTTTTATTAAACAGTGTTTAACAAACTGTTTTTTTATTATAACTGTTTTTTTATAATCTTATATTTTATATTCAATTTCAGAAAACAATTTTTAATGTCTAACTTATTATTTTATAATTAACATGTTAAACTTTTTTGGAAGTTTGACATGAGGGGATATTTTTTTGATTAATTCGGAAAAACTTTTTAATTAAATCAGTTAATTTTTTTTATTAAAACATTGTTTTTTAATAATCTAATATTCTATATTAAATTTGAGAAAACAGTTTTTAATGTCTAACTTAATATTTATAATTAACATGTTAAATTTTTTTGGAAGTTTAACATGAGGGGGTATTTCTTTAATTAATTCAGGTATATAATATAAACTATATCTATTCAAAAATAACATTGATGCATATAAGGTAACATTTAACACATAAGTCCGAATAATCATGCATGTTGTTTAACCTACAATTAAATCTTATTTAAGCATACATATTAATTAAACTTATACACAACAGATATAGGCATGCCAATTAAGCATATATACAAGCTAAATCATGTTATATTTAGCATATAGATTTTGTAATAAACTGAATAATATTAACATGTATTTCGAAAAACATGTGTTTAATAACATGTATACAAAATGAATTTAATAACATGTATACAAAATAAGTATTTCGAAAACTGAATTATATTAACATGTATTTCGAAAATTAAAGCAATATTATAAACTAAATTAAATTATACTTCGAAATCATATTACTACACAAAACATGTTTACAAAACTAAAGAATCATGCATAGATCAATTGGAGCATATTACACAATTTTAGAATAATGGGAACACACTTATAATAACATGCATTTTTGGAATAAAAATCAAATACTAAAAATAAGAATTAAAAGTAAATAAAATTTAGAACACATAACCTTCCTTGATGAAGAGTACGGCGAAGAGCGACAGAGGTAGCTAACGGAAAGAGGCGACCGACGGTGGCAGTAGACGACGGTAGCGGACGGTGGAAGGCGGCGTTAGAGGTCAATGTCGGCGGAGTGTAGAAGAAGTAAAGGGAGAAAGAGTTAGGGTTTTGTTTGGGAGAGAGGCGGCCGACGGTGGCAGTAGACGTTGGCAGCGGACGGCGGCATCGTACGGCGACATCGGACGGTGGAAGGCGGCGTTAGAAGTCGAGGTCGGCGGAGTGTAGAAGGAGTAAAGGGAGAAATAGTTAGGGTTAATTGTTTGGGAGAGCATTCAGAATGAAAAATTTGCTAAGTGTTGAATTTATATCAGGTCATAGTCACGGACGTAGTCACGGAAACTTCCGTGACTAGCTGCCGTAAATAACGAAGTTAGACGCGCGGAAGACGAGGTGTCAGGACCGCCTTTGACCGCCTTAGTCACGGACGGATCCGTGACTAAGGTCGTGACTAATTCAAATTTTTGAATTAGTCATGGCCCTAGTCACGGATCCGTCCGTGACTAACTTTACAGTCGTTTGTCAGCTCCTCGAGCAGGCCGGCGATAGTGGGAAATAAATTCAGAAAATTATATTCGATTTTTCGGTATAAATAGGTGATGCCCGGTCCAATAATGTTTGTGTGAAAAATAAAATGGCTAATCGAGAACCAATTGACTGGGATTCGATGTGTAGAGCTATGAAACGACTCAAGCTAATTACACAGCTTATGGAGCAGAAAACCGTTGAAGCATATCAGAGAATCAAGGAGTTGATGGCTAGACCCCTTGAAAGTTTTGGTGACTATAAAGATGAGGAATCCGACTCACTCGGCAAGTCAAAAGCAAACAACTTGTGTCAGATGCTTCAACGTGCAGAAGAATGTTCGGAGTATGTGGATCCGATCAACGAAGAAGCTGAAAGGAAAATTAACGAGTTGTTGGCTAGGCCTCTTGAAAGTTTTGATATTGATGAATAATTTTGTATTTGTTTGTTTGCTTATTATGATAAATGATTAATGTTTCGTTAGTTGATTGTGATAAAAAAATTGTGCGTTTCGTACTTATCTTTTAATAATGATGAAGAAAAAATCAAATATTGTTGGACTACAATAATAATGAAGAAAAGAGCACAAATAATCGAACTCAAAAAAATTGTAATACAACAATACAATTAGTCACTATCAGAATCATTATTTTCTACATATATAACATCTTCTTCTGTATCAGAACCGTCTATCCATTCTCCTTCTTCATGATATTGAGCATTTTGTTGTTCTTCATGCATTTCAACAATTTCGCGCTCAGATGGAGTTGTTAGGTCCGGAAGGTGCGTTTCTGGCATGACTTCAACACTTCCCCCATTTGGATCACTTAGCTGAATGTGATGGTTGAGCGTCTCAACAATCGGCAGAGGTTGGAAAAAATGTTGCTGAAAAGCATCTAAATCAACGTCCTTGTGTTGAGTTTGTGATACAATTTTGCTCGGACGGACAGTACATGCACACACCCAAGGATTCTGTGTCCGCCTGGTTGAAGGGTATTCTGCATAATAAATCTGGGCTGCTTATTGAACAAGTATAAAAGGCTCATTTTTCGTATACACGCGAGAGTGGTTGACGTCAATCATATTATACTTTGATTTTTTTCGCACACCAAGTGTTGGATTGATCCATTTGCAGCGGAACAAAACGCATGTCAACTTTTTCCCAGGAGAAGGCATTTCCAGTTCGAGAATCTCATGCAAGACACCAAAAAAATTGGTTTCCGAGTTATCATAACCGATGGTTGGGACACATAACCCGCTGTTCACTGTTGGTCGGCCCTGTCCGTAACCGACTGTGTGATAGGGGTAACCGTTTATCACATATGACCGCCAAACTTTGACGTAGACACCAGGGCCCCACGATAATGGTACTAACAAAGGGTCCACAATCCCACGATTATTGATCTGTAAATTAAAACACGATAACATTGGGTAATTATTAAAAATTATTACTTAATAATATATATATAATTAATGTGTGTGTATGTATATATACATGATACTTGTACCACGGTATAAAATGAAAGTCCACCAATGCATCAATTTCATTGTCAGGGAATGCTGAGTACTCCGCTCTAAATTCACTGTGAAGTCAAACATGAAAATATTATAAATCAACTACCTTAATTGTATATATATTACAAAGATAACTACAAATTTAACCTGTCTGAACGCGAGTTACATATTTTTTTACGTAAAGTTACATATTGTTACACGTAGAGATACATATTTATACACACGGGTTGCATTTGGCCTGACTGAACATGAGTTACATATTTTAACACGTAAAGTTACATATTTTACACGCAAATGTTAATATGTTAAAATTACATAGACAATATTGATCTCATTTGAAAGATCATGAAAAATAAAAAATGTTGATATAAATTTTATAAAAATCAGATCAAAAATAAAAAAGTTATTATCATTTTTAAAAAAGAGAAAATAATATCCAATGAGTGTGATACATGTATACGCACGGTATACGCACTCATGAAATAAGTAGTTGGAACCCACAAGAATTAGTGGCGTTGCTTCAAGAATTACCGATGCCGATTCAAGAATTAGCCGGCCTCATTAATTATTAATTAATATTTTATGTTGACAATGAGAAATAATTTGTTGCTGACTTTAAAGTCTTTGTTTGAAGATTAACAAAAACGTCTTCGTTTGAAAAAAATATGATTATTAATAAAACAAGATATATGGTACGTAATAAACATACGATAAGCATAATTGACAGTGATCCTAGCTAAAGCACGAGCTCTACCGTTCACTTGACGCCTAGTAATAACCATCTAAATTTGTTATTTTCCGCTAGCAATTATCTACAATGTTTCACCAGCCAACTTGCACATTTGTATATTAACCACTTACTTTATTTATCAATAAGAACATGTATGCTAAGTTCCGTTTTTGACGTATCTATCTTTTCAATTAAGTTTTAACAATCTCTTACAGTAATTTTTTTTATGAATTTCACGTGTTGCATTATGCAGTAATTAAAATGATTTTAACTATTTATTTATATCCTTTCTTCTTTTCTTTTATTAATAAAATATACTCTAAGCGCTATCGTGTAATTTTATCACATTGAATTATTTTATTTACAAAAATGTGAATGAGCTAAATTGCAAATTTGAGCAAAACGAGTTATTCAAGAGGGGCGAATTTTAAGCGCTTCATTTGTCACATTTTTAACTATTTATTTATATCCTTTCTGCTTCGGTCACTCCGATAAGTTATATTTCAAATGGGAGAATTTGATTTTACACTCCAATTTATTATAAAATCATTTGACTTTGCATCTCACTCATTCACAGTTTTAGATTCATGAGGTGCACACATTAATAATTTTAAACTGGACTGCAATCTCAAATTCTCCCCTCACTTCATAAATCATTTTGTAACACTGTTGAAATATGAACAGAGCATTTTCGTAAAGCACTTTTCTTCTCAGACCTTTCTTTCACTATAAAACAGTGGCTCCCCATTTTCACATGTGCGTGCTTCAAAACATGAAGAATTATTATACAGTATCCTCTTCTTCATTTCTCCGCATCGTTTTTCTTTCTCTTCTCATCCTCTGCCTCTCAGCACCGCCTCCTTCCGCCGCGGCCCGGCCGCGTTGCAACTCAAACGACAAAAAGGCCCTCCTTCAAATCAAAAAAGATCTGGGGAAGCCCTATCATCTGGCTTCGTGGGACCCAAAGACGGACTGCTGCAGCTGGTACGTCGTGAAATGCGACCGAGTCACCAGCCGCATCACTGCCCTCACCGTCTTCCAGGCCGATTTCTCCGGCCAAATCTCGGCGTCCGTCGGCGGTCTCCCGTACCTCACGCAACTCATGTTTCACCACGTTCCCAACCTCACCGGAACCATCCCGCCGTCCATCACTAAGCTCACGCGCCTTACTTCTCTGGACATTAGCTGGACGAGTCTCTCCGGCCAAATCCCGGCGTTCCTGAGCCAGCTAAAGAACCTGACGTACCTCAACCTTTCCTTCAACAACTTCACCGGACCCATTCCGGAATCTCTGGGAGAGCTCCGGAATCTCGGAGCACTCCACTTGGACCGGAACAAACTCACCGGACCCATCCCGGAGTCCTTCGGGAAATTCTCGCCGGCGCCGGCTCTGTACCTCTCCCACAACCAACTGTCCGGAAAACTGCCGGCGTCCTTCGGGAATCTTAACTTTGAGACGATAGATCTGTCCCGGAACAGACTGGAAGGCGACGCGTCGATCTTGTTCGGGAAAAGCAAGAATGCCCAGACAATAGATCTGTCGAGAAATGCGTTCCGGTTCGATTTCTCCAAAGTGGAGGGGTTCTCGAAGAGCCTGAGCGCGCTGGATCTGAACCACAACCAGATCTACGGGAGTGTGCCGGCGGCGCTGACGGCGGTAGAAAACCTGCAGCAGTTCAATGTGAGTTACAACAGACTGTGCGGCGAGATTCCTAAAGGGTGGCTGCAAACGAGTTTCGACAAGTATTCATATTTTCACAACAAGTGCCTGTGCGGTTCTCCACTGCCGCCGTGTCGATAATACCCATAAAAATTGAGGGAAGAGCTCTGTGGCCTTCAATTTAATTAATCACTATGCATTGAATGGCGTTTAGCCATTAATAAATTTGTTTTTAAATTATGATTGTCTTTGGATTAGGCATGGCAATGGGTCGGGCGGGGCGTGTACCGCAAGACCCAGACCTGCCCAGTGACTTGACGGGGTGGGTCCGCCCCGTGACTTGCGTGGGTCCAAACTTGTTGACCAATGATCTGCCCCATGCGGGGTGGATCCGCCCCGCCCGCCGTAACCTAATTAGCTAGTATGTATTTTTATTTGAGAGAAGTTGTTACCAATTGAATCTACTTAAAATTTATCTTTAAATTATTATTAAAAATTACGTAGTAAAATTTTAATCAAATTCACGATACGTAGAAATTTCAAAAGTTAAGGAAAAATCACTTAGACTTGAATAATTAATCTATTTAATTATAGGGAAAACTGTCAAATAGGTTCTCGAACTTTCATAAAAAATCAATTAAGTCCTTCTATAGTAGACTCTGTCTGGTCATCGCAATTTAGGGCGGTTCCCGGTGGAATTTTTTGATGAATTTTTTTGAGCATCTTATTCATCAAGTGTAGTTTACTCATACCAAATTTCAGCTAAAAATTTAATCCGGAGTGCATTCAAATTAATTCGAGAACGCAAAAATGTGCGCTTATCTTCAAGAATTAATTTGAATGTGTTCCCGATTATATTTTTATCTGAAATTTGGTATGAGTAAACTAGACTTGATGAAAAAGATGCTTAAAAAATTTCATCAAAAAATTCCATCAAGAACTGCCCTAAATCGCGACGGCCGTACAGAACCTCCTATAGAGGGACTTAATTGACCCTTTTATGAAAGTTCGAGGACCTATTTGACAGTTTTCCCTTAATTATATTACTACTTGAATATATGTATTAAAATGCTATATATTCTGTATAAAGAAGACATTGATAATCTGTCGTTAATCTCAATCTAATATATATATATATATATATATATATATATATATATATATTGATATACGATAAGATCAAAGAATTTATGATTTATTGTACACACACATATGTATGTTGAAGTATATTTGTAGTAAAATTTAAGAAAAATTATGTATATACCTATATATTGAGCGGGTCAGGGTGGGGTGGGTCGGGGCGGCACGGGTCAATACTAATACCCGGATCCGCCCCATTGTATAGGCGGGGCAGGCGGACCTGCCTCATTTGCAAGACGGGACGGGTCAGACCCGCCCCAAATATCTCGGGCCAGAGCAGATCATTGTGGGCCGAGTTTTTTTTGACATCCCTAGTTTGGATAAAACATGGTTCAATGGAGCTTTTCCGGACGGTAAGGTTGTTAACTAGAAGGACATGCCATCATATTTCTCTATAGAAAAATGTTTGGCGTATACATTTTTGCGTATAGTTTTTGTACATTCGTCTGTCTTTCGGACACACAATTGTCTGTCCACAGACAATTCTACGGACACTTCTCCATATGACCCACACTAGGTCAAAGTTATAAGGACAATAATGGTTTAATACTCAACACATAGTAGAGGCGGACCCACTAAGGGTCCCACAGGGTCCCGGGACCCCGTGCAACTCGAAAAAAATACCTATATATTATATATATTATATAAAATTAATTATTCAATGTATATTTACAAAAAAAGACCTTACAATCAAAAGAATGGAGTAGTGCATCGGTGATGGGTACTTATGCCAAATATGAGGTCATGGGTTCAAAACCCAGCCTCTTCTTTTTATTCCTTTTTTCAGTGCTGAGTTTGAACAATGTATACAAATTTCCAACAAAAACTTCAACTTGGTTCAATTAACTCATTGGTTGAGTATGTCCTTCTTTGTCCAAATGGGTAGAGCTCAAATCCCAGCTTCACATCTCTTAATTGCTTTGCTACTTTTCTCCAAATTACTCCTTATTTTCTTTGAAGGAAATTTCTCTTTTATTATTCCAACTTGAACTTTTATTTTCTTCATTTCTTCACGCTAAATGTATCCAAATAACATCAAATCTACCAGAAAATACAAAATACACGCATATGATTGCACTAATATAAATTTACGACAAATAATAAAAATATGTACAAAAGTACAACTTTAATAACTAAAATTATCAACAAACCAAGTCTAAAAAGTGTGTAAAATATAAGCACATCAGTTGCCCAGTTTTTTTTTTCTCTGCTGCTTTTCTTTGCATATCTTTTTTTAATGTCAGATTAAAGTAATAAATTCATGTATTCATAAATGTTTTTTTCAATTTTATACGATTTAGGATGAAAAGATATTTTGATGTTGTAACCAAATTTAAAGAAACCTAGTGTACCGGGAGTAGTTCAGGTGTTAATTCAAATTATTCGTCATTAGTAAATGAAAAACTGGATCAATTTTTTTATTAGTTTTATACTTTTATTAATTAGAGATTAAAGATATAAAAGGGTAGGGATCTCGTGACTCCGACTTTCTGGATTTTAGCATAAAAAAACACATGTTGATGTTAGTGTTACTACCTCGGCTAGTAAGGGAAAGGAAAGGTTGTTGAAGTTCGTCACAAAAGAAGGAATACCATAGTACATTACTTTTCAGAAAAAACGAGTTATTCAACAGAGGGGCGAATCTTCCAAATGTGTATAGCAGAAGAGGTGCTCATGAAGGAGGTTATGGCACCCCGTGAAGAAACTCTTCCCAAATCTTATGTCCATAAAAGAAGTCATGGCACTCTCCGCTGGTTATAGAGTATGTGCGAGAAAATGGAACACGTTACCCCATTATGGAGTCCTGACAGATATATTTATAATGATAATTAATGTTTAAAGTACATAAATGACCCTAGTCTATTACACTCACTCAAATTGTGCCGGAGATACAACGCGCAGGTTGTCCTTTAAAAAATGAAAACGCCGACTAGGGAGACTTTTTGTAAAAATATCAGCTAACTGAAAGATCACCATGGGCAACTCTCTCTCGAACAAAGTGGTAGTCAATCTGAATATGCTTGCTCTGAGCATAGTGTACAAAATTAACAATCAAGTACGAGGCATAAATATTATTACATAGAGGGCCTGTTTGGTGACAGCTGCACTGGCTGGAATGGCTGAAAAGCCTGAAAAGACTTAAATTGCTGAAGTGAAAGTGTTTGGTATTATATTGGCTGAAATGGCTGATTGTGTATAAAATTACTATAAAGGGTATTAGCTTATTTGTGTTAAATATACGGGTCTTAATTTTACTAATAAACTAGTTTTATTTTTTTAAACCCGGTAGGCAAACCACCAAAATCAGTGGGGCAAATGCCGGGGAACATTTGCCAGATTTTATTAATATAAGGAAACAATACAAAAGGGGAGGGGGACTAGACCAAAACCTCCCCTTAAGAGGCATACCTCTTCAAAATACATGAGAAAAAACAATCAGAATTAAAAGCATTAACTAAATCTAAGATAGCTTAATTGAAGTTTGTCCTCAATTAAGGATCTCCTAATATAACATGGCAAATCCCTGAAATTGGAAATAACAGTAAAAGCCTTCAATTTTAATTTGGACACGTAATGAGCTGGCCAATTTGCTTCCCGCATCACATGTCTGAGCATAATCTTACCCCCGACCATCCATCTTCCTAAATCCTTCGTAGCACTGCTAGAACACCAATTTCCTTCTTCATTTCTAATAGCCTCAATCGCCTCTCTAGAATCCGATTCCACCTCCAAATCCTCGATCCCATGCTTCATCGCCCACGAAGTCGCTTCACATATAGCAATCATTTCAGCTTGATAATCGCTGAAATAGGAAAGTGAAGAGCAACTACAAGGTCACCCGAGTTCGTTCGTACAACCGCACCTCCGACCGCATCCTCACCGTACGAAGCATCAACATTCAATTTGTATTTCAGCTCAGGTATCTTCCATCTTATAATCTGTATCTTTGTTTTGCTAGCTTGAACCACGGGTATGATAGATTCCTCAAAGAGAATCAGATTTGGTCTTCTCCCAAATTTTATCTTCTGTAATCTCGCCAAATACCATCCCTGAGTATAATTCTTTATCTGAAGAATTATCTTATGTACTGGGGGTATACCTGCCAGATCCCCCCAGATAAACGGAGAATATATCTTCCAAATATGCCATCCAACAATTCCAGGCATATTGTGTCTAAATATATCCATAAGAGATTTTGATCCTTCTTCTAACCACCATGCAATAAATACCTGTCTAATAGAGATGGGATTTTTATAATATGGAATTTCAAATAAACCCATAAAATACTTCCAAATATGTCTAGAGTATTGTAGTGGTATTGGTCCACCTCCACTGGGCCATCCCTGAGTTGCCTTTGGTCCACCTCATTTAAGGAGTTGGTCTCCTATTTATTGCCCTGGCCCAATTGGGCTGTATACCCGACCAAGCCCATTCCCTTACCCGTTTGTCTTATACCCAGCCCATGCCCGTGTGGCCCTCTCTTATATTGTCTGGTTCTTCTAAAAACCTCCTATTTCAGCCTCTCCACCTTCTCTTTATCCGATGTCTCTCCCGTTCAGTTACCCTAGACCTAGAGTGAGAGAGTGCCGGTTTCCTCTGAGCTTTAGCTCCGGCTTTGCTCCGGTGAGACCTTGGGGTTCCTATTGGGGTCTTCACTCTAGTCTGGTAGTGTGGTGGGTTACTACTGCTCCGGTGGGACTTCTGGGCTGGGGTCTGGGTTCTGAGTGTGAGGGTTAGTTGGTTGTCGCCCTTTCGTCTTCTCTGGTTGTATCCCTGGTGGTGAGTGTGAGCAAGCCTTTGGGCTTTGTAGTGATTGAGGTCTGAGCCGGTCCGGTTTTCTAACAGTGGTATCAGAGCCTGGACGTTGCTGCCTCTCTCGGACACCGGAAGCTCACCGGAGAACTCCCACACCGGTAACGTCTGGAGACTCCATCGGAGAAGGTAAGTCGGGTTGTCTCTCAGTGACACCCGCTCAGGTATAACACTTAAACCCTAATCCTTGGGCTGCCGGAGTGCCACCGGCTTCTGTGATGCATGGGTGTTCTGAAACCCTAGGTTGAGGAACTACCGATTAGAAACCCTAGTTTCTTAACCATTGCATGTGTAGATTTTGTTTAGACAAGATCTGCAGAAACCCTAGGTTGTTGATATAGTGCATGAGTGGTCCAATCTGTGTCGAACTTGGCCACTGATATATGTGAACTTGTTTGTGTTAAATTTATTCTCTGTGTGATTACCTCTGAACTTGTCTCTGTATTGCTGTAGCGTGCCCTATTTTCTGCTGTATTATTTTTGGTGTTTTTTCTCTGCTCAGTCAGTCTATCAATTTCTTCCTGTTCCTTGTGTTGAGTTCTGGTAATTGTGTGGCTTCC